TTGTGTTTATCAAAGTATCACGTCCATGATAATATTATGATGAGTACGGAAATGCATTTGGAATTTCGGATCGCCGATAAAGACTTAGCAATCGAAATTATGGCGGGCGACTGCCATGTAACAATGTTAAAAATTCCTCTGAGTTAAAGTTCGCAGTCGGTACAATTTGAATTGTCCTGGTACGGTACTGGTTAGTGGTCACTCGTCTTGCCCCCAGATGAAATGGTGTCAGCCCAAAATGATTCCACTCCGTGTACATGTGCCGGGACTTTAGTGTTAGACGCGGCTTTGCGCTTTTCCTGCCTGTTTAGCAGGCTGCGACGGCCGGGTATTCGCCAAACGCCATCAATAAATGGCTATAATATAATATAATATAATATAATATAATATAATATAATATAATATAATATAATATAATATAATATAATATAATATAATATAATATAATATAATATAATATAATATATATAATATAATATAATATAATATAATATAATATAATATAATATAATATAATATAATATAATATAATATAATATAATATAATATAATATAATATAATATAATATAATATAATATAATATAATATAATATAATATAATATAATATAATATAGTAAACATCTTTGCATGATAATGGTAGGTGTAACAGATTTCATAAAGTTTTACATTCCAGGCGTTCTTGTGTCATCTTGATATTATGGTATGTTAACTTTAGAGTCAGTTTTAATTCTTTTCGAAATTTTAGCACTCTTAACTGTTTCAGTTGTACCAAATCGATCAAGAAATCAAACGAGAGCTATCGTCGGGTAATATATATAGAAATTTAGGTTTATGTTTAAATTTCCTGTAACTTTTGCAGTCATGCAATTTTCGGTTTACTTTGAAACCAAAAATTTTCATTAGAACCATTCCCGTGCTGCAAGGGTATGAAGCATCTTAATCCGTGGCAAAAAGGAAATGGTTGTTTTCGCATCACCAAAGACAAAGCTATTCATCATAACTCCAAATGTCCTGGTTGTGAGAAAAGATTTACTGAGAATCCACCGGCACCAGAGATCATCGTAGTCCGCGAAGAATTCGAATACATTAGTGGGAGGAATCGCAAATCAGTTACCGACAGGGCGAAGCCTAGGAAGTATTGTTTGCCTGCGGCATGCATTAAGCGACGGCATCCACATTTTGCCACATATTTTGGTAATCTCGATGACTCAGTACAGTTTAGCAGGGAAGAACTGCGTCTCATCGCGAAATTCCGCACGGAAATCTAGGGAATGTTCTGTTCGTTTTGTTCGCTCGCAGTATCTTATCGCCTTCCATTTCATGCTTGCCAGTTTTTTATGTTTGCATTTATTTGATGTTGCTAACTTTGCACTGAACATAACGAGCATTATATTTATTATATTATATATGTTATATTATATTATATTGTATTATATTATATTATATTATCTTATATATATATATATATATAGTATATTATATATATTTATATTATATATATTATATATATTATATATTATATATATATATATATGTTATATATATATTATTACATATATTATATATATATACATATATATATATATATATATATATTATATATATATATATATATATATGTTATATATATATATATATATATATATATATATATATATATATATATATATATATATACATATATATATTATATATACAAATGTGTATGTTTTCGAACGTAAGCGTCTTGCGTTAATGCAGCTTTTCACTGCTTGTATTGTTTTAACGAACAGGCTTACCCCTTGAAACATAAATGTGTTTAAATACGCACAACTTCTACTTCTTTTAAGTATGCATACTTGTTAAAGCATGATTATTTGCATAAACACTGTATTGTGAAGCGCTTGTTTGTTTGGCTACTTTTGCCTTGGACAAAATGTCTCTTTTAGTTGTCATGCTTTACTGAAGAACGGCACACCATTAAGCTATGTACGCAGCCATTATTGATGAATATATTTTATTTAATCGGTTCTTTACATAAGTATACAGTGGTGAAACAGAAAATTACGCAGTAAATCACTTCAGTACGTAATACACTTCGTCCAACCTCTTACCGATACAGAACGTTTCCTGTACACAAAAAGCACTGCCTGGCATTAAAGCAACACTGATTCTCTGCTTCAGAAACTGAGTGGACCGTTTCTCACGTGTCCGCTCAAAAGCATCTTAGCGAGTGTAGACATTTCACATTTCGATTCTTTGCCCCACACGCCCATGGTTTCAAAAACCAAGGCAGAGAAATTGAATTTATCGCGTAAAAATCCATGCTTCTGGTTTTTCTTTGCCTCTGCCATGCTGGCGGCTGAGCCTGCTTCTTCGGACGTCTTCGCGATATAGTCGATAGCCATGGTATCTGGGCAGGTGACATCCCAAACCCAAGACTTTCCGTGACTGAAGGGAACCGATGGCATGCCGTCCGGTCTTTTATTGACATCGCGATACAGACCGGGTGGTTCCAGAACTGATGGGATACAGGCTGAACCGCAGGCTCGGTGAATTACATCTATGATTTCGTTGTGCCGGGAGATTTTCGCTCTGAGACGCTTGCACCCCAACCCGTGATATCCCCAAACATCCACCATGCTACCACATTTTCACCTGTGTTCGATACATACGGGAGCGCCGATACGTTGCGCAATGGATATGCGCAACTCATTGTTCGATAGCATTGTACCGAGGCTTGACACTGGAACCGCGTTGAGCCACAGTCCGGACTCGGGCTGGCTTACTGCTAGCAACCTGGCTTTCTGGTTGACGGAATGGGCTTGATGAATTGATTTAATTCGCATTACAAACTGTTTAAATTCTTGACCATATTTCAAGTCTTTTTATCGCTGAACACACGCTTCTGATTTCTGACTTTGAGAATTTGTATTGCAGGCTTGAGTTATGTACGAGAACCAAAGCAATTAGAAGAAGAAGCAATATCATCTTCACACCGGCAAAATTCCAAACTGACAAAACGCAGTCAACTTATCAATCATTAAGCGATTTTAAAGCGATTTTAAAACATGAAGCGATTTTAAAACAAAGGCGCCTTAGCCAAATTTGCGGTTTACTCGTAAACGCTGTACATATGCTTTCTGTTTTTCGGATACTGATATACTTTAAAAAATGATATTGACCGGTATCGGTGGTGACTCATTAATTGATACTGACTAAATAATCCGTTAAATTCTAAAGCCGTTTGGATGTAATTCAACTCAACCGCACCCGGACAGTTGGGAGTGTGACATTTCGCCGCACTCAAACTCGACGCGCTACTTTTCGCCGCGAAGACATTTCGTCGCCGGACATTCAGACGCTGGGACACTTCGGTTTGGGACTTTATGTTTTGAGACATTTTAACTTTGCGACATTTCGACGCAAGACGTCTGGCCGCGAACGATTCGTCTTGGGACTTTCGAACGATGCGACTAATCACCGCAAAAAAATTAGCCGCGCTTAATTTCACTACTTTTTTAGGCTTGTTCGTAGTTTTTCTTTGGTTTCTTAGTCCTTCTTAAACTTTCTTGCAATTGTTGAGGTCGTCTTAGTTTTTCCAAGGATTTCTTAGGTTTTTTTGGTTTCTTACGTTTCTTAGGTTCTTAGGTTTCTCAGGTTCCTCAGGTTTCTTAGGTTTCTTAGGTTTCTTAGATTTTCTTAGATTTTCTTAGGTTTCTGAGGTTTCTCAGGTTTCTTAGGTTTCTTAGGTTTCTTAGGTTTCTCAGGTTTCTTAGGTTTGTTTTCTTAGGTTGTTCGTTTGGTTTTGTTTTCCAGTTTTAAATTTTCTGACTCTTTTGGTTAGCTTAGTAAGTTATTTATCGGAAATCGGGAATGTCGCTTCGTCGAGATGTCCTTGCGTCAAAACGTCTGTGCGACGGAATGTCTCGCGGCGTACATTCCTGCCGACGAAATGTCCTTGGACGAAACGTCGTGCGGCGAGATGGCCTTGCGGTGAAATGTCTGCGACCAAAACTCCTGCGACTAGTTGTCCGCGGGAAATGTCGCGGTGCCAATTCAACACCACTACATTACATGCACAAAAACAAGGCTGTCATCCACTAATCGCTCTTCGCTCATACTCGGCGCGTTCTCACGAACGGTTCGATCATCCCAGTTATACGCAGAAATACAAAAGCAGTTCTAGATCAGACGAGAAATTACTCGGAACATTATCTGGTACAAAGCGGAATCGTTTTATACTGCACAAGTACATCATGAATCCGGCAGTCAGAAATTCGATAGTGTCTGAGAAATCGTTTCACAGGCATGGTGTAATATGGAAGACGAGCATGGTTTGGGTGACGCTGCTACGTTTTTGTGGCTACGCTATCGCCCCATCGAAGAAACTTTGGAGAAGGACGGTGTTTTTACGCTACATAATGAACATTTACTCTTTGTTTTGATAATTGGCGTTAAGGCACTGTCCGCGGTTGTTGCTTTCCGGTCGAGTTACCAAGGGTTGTCGAACTGGTTCACTTTTCAAGTCATCCAAGTGCTGGATGTGACGGAAAGTTTTGCCGAAGCGTTGTCAATGGTCTTAACGTGCTGGTTTAGTCAACAAATCTTGCAGCTAATAAACAGAATGGATAGAATTATTTGCGTTTTTGCAGTGAAAAAACCGTTAAATATTTTTGTCTCCGCTGTAGCATTGTTCGTACTGATCGTCGTAATGAAACAGAGTTACCGGTTGTACGCATTACAGACTGACCTTTCCTTATCACAGCGCATCAAATATTTTCAGAAGCACTATCTATTTGTGCAATCGCATGACATTGTTGAATGGATGTACCGCGCGTATTTCGTGTTTGACCGAATATTTTACATGAGACGCGACTTTCTGGTGGGTTTCATGATAACCAGTCATGGTTATCATGAAATGATAACCAGTCATGGTTATCATGAAATGATAACCAGTCATGGTTATCACTTTCTGGCCAGTCATGGTGTGCGTGCCATAACTTCCAGCATCGACGCTCGATTACTTAAAGAGGGAGAGATAGCTATTGCTGAGTATTCCCAGCTGGTGCAGATTATGGCAGGTGTTCGCGATCTGGATGAGTATTTGTCGCTAATCGTGGGCCTCCGTTGTTACGGAGCTTTAGCCATGACCATTCTCTTCACTTTCATGTGCAGCCAGAATGCTGTCAACCAGCAGCCTTCGGTGGACGCTGTCATCGCACTGATCAACGGTTTTGTCTCGTTCTGTACTGTGCTCGTTGTCTGCGCGTATTCATACGAACAGGTAAAATGTTTTAACCGTTTTCTTATTTTATGTAATAAACTTTTCAAAATTTCTCGCAGGCCAGCGAATCGAAATACACAAGCGAGTTACGTAGCAGCATCTTACTATCTAACAACGTTGGCGGTTGAATAACCGAGCAAATTCTTCAATGCTACTGATATGAGTATTTATAGAACAATCATACGAACTTCGAAATCAATGCATTTAAGCGCGCACTGTCACTTTTCGGTTCTAATTAGCACTAACTGATCATTTAGCTACACTAATAGAAATGTTTATGATAGGGCCAGAGACTGTCAAAAGTTGCCACAATTTGTCTGCGCAATGGAGAAAACAAGTGGCAGACTGATGAATGGAATGACATGTACCACCGCGGCGAGCGATGCGAACGAGCTTATTTTACGATTGCGGGAGTGACAGTCACCCGAGAAAGCGTCATGCAGGTGCAAACGGACTCTGATATCCCATCATAACATTTGAATGTCTTCGAATTTAGTTTATTCTGCACACAGCTATAACAGCTGACAGTTTTACGGCAAAATAATTCATGTACCTGCTGCCGTTGCTCACGTCCCTGCGGAAGTGGGGCATCATCGATCCATCCGCTTATCAAGATTTTAATTTTTACAGATCTGCGCCGCTTTGGTAAGCACTTTGTTGGTTTTTGCGGAATTGGCTCGCGGCCCTACTAACGCAGAAGCTGGCAGCAGCGCCATTAACGTCACTGAGGTCATCCTGTATACAACTGCAAGTGCCAAAACTGACGTAGAATAATCTGTTAACTCTGTGGGTGACAGAAAATCTAGGCGCGGGAAATGCCGAACGGAATTCGGGTCCTTCTGGAACTCATTGTTTCAACCAAATTTATACGTTCTCGGTTCTAATTTTTGTTGACATTCGTAAATTTACAACAGGCTGCGGTAATGAATAAATCATGACGTTGTAATAATTTTAAACACCCTCAAAATTTAGTAGCATTGACCAATATCAAGTAGCAGCCGGCAGCAGGCAGCAACAGTAACAACAAGCATTTAGCAACGATGTTGCAAACCTTGCACAGCTGGTTTACCCTTTATTTTGTAAGAGCATCGCGTTTGCTGGATAACAAACAAAAACTCTCATTATGCATTACTTTGACTAAGTGATGAAACATCCGTACTATAGCGTAAGATGCAAATTACTTAGAACCAAATCACAACAGCTTCCAAATGATAAGATATTTTTGATTAAACACGTAGCTACTTTGTACTTGAACAGTTTGCAGAATTTTCCAATGGCCGAAAGATTCTGCATGATGCGCTTAATCTGTAAAACCTGAGTAGTCGTTAATGCCACGGACAAAAACAGTTTATGGAAGCGTTCTCCATGTTGACTGTCGTGTTGATTGACCGGGGCCACGTGCGCGGTCAACAGGCCATCAAACGCTACTCGTACGTTACAGCTTAGGTAATAAGTACAGCTCTCTGTGCTGTTTATTGAGTAATGCAACACTGTGAATTGTACATCCACATATGTACATATCTTGGCCGGCAATCCGCTTATGAGTGCAACATCCAGTTCCTGAGAGACTACGAATACCGGGCTATTTTTTCTCATTATGTGTTCACGAAACAAGTACGTTCACATGTTGTTGGCTATATTTTAATGATCATTTTTGAGTAGCAGTGAATTTCCCATTTTTTTCCTAGTGGTACCCAAAAAGTCTTTGATTTCCTCAACGTTCATCCTGATCGCTGCTGTTGTGGATCGATGGTCGCGCCCGCTTTCCAATGCTCCTGTTCGGTTTTCGGTGCTGATTGGGCAAATAGTATATTCCACAAAGTGCCGTAATCAGACCTCCTGTCTAGACAGAGCCGTCAAGGCATGAATTCACCGGAAAGAATAAATATCCCCGCCGTTACAGTACTAGTCAATACGTACTCAGTCCAATAATATGACAAAAGGAAGTACGAGCACGACTGCAAACACACGATGCACGAAGGACAGCGAGAAGTTCGAACCAGGGCTGATTAAAAGGATCACAATGTTTTGGATAATCTTTTTGCAGTTATGCGGCTACTTTTTCTATCCATTTGACAGACGCTTTGCACGGGGCAAAATACTGCATAGTGTGATGTCCATATACACCGCCGTAAACATTGCTACGAATGCGTTTACCACCTTTGATGAAATCAGATACTATGCTCCACCCTTGTCCAATTGGTTTACACTGCTGGTGTACCACGTGATTGATTCGTCGGATCTTATTTTGAAGGTGCTCTGTATACTTTTTATGTGGTCAGTCAGCCAGAAAATTGTACAGCTTACCGGAGATCTGGACCGGCGTTACAGCAAACTGATTACCCGTGAAGAGGGTCGTCTAATTACGTTTTTCGCGGTCGCTTACGTGGTCGTCATGGCGCTGCGTAATGGATACCGGTTCTACATGGAGCAATTTACTAATTTTCCAACACATTTGGCTTCCTTCCAAACGGACTACTTTCCATATTTATCAATAAACCACGCATTGTTTTTGGAATGGATCTTGCGAATGCTTAAAACGGTGATTTTTTTTACCAGTTTTGGCCGCGAAAATCTGTTTGGTTTCATAACGGTCATTACCCTGTCGTCCAGCGTTATTGTCCGTCGGATGGTACTAGACACTCGACGGCAACTAGCAGCCTGTGAGGGCGTCACGGTGGAAAACTACTCAGCACAGATGCATCTAATCCGTAAGTAGTAAAAGGCGTCCCGCAAAGGGATTTTGATCTCTACTTCCCTACTGGACTTCCTGACTGCAGTTTGTGACGTCACAATAAGTAATCAAATTCCACAAAAAGTTGAAACTAAAACTATACTTTGTATTAATAATTTACAAAATATTACCATAGTTACTGATTAAATCGTTAGTTGTTGACTGTATTTAAATATTTGCTCTTAGTTTTCTATAGTGTATAAGGAATCCCTTGACCATTTACTGTACTGTATTATTATTTGATTTATGTGCGGGGATAGTATAAAGTAGATGAAAGCATTAAAAAACTAAAGCGGATAAGACGCATAAAAAAATTACGTTATTCAGAATTTTTATATAGTTTTTAAGCACAACAGCGAAATGAAAACCGGTAAGTAATAGCTTGTTATTCATCGTCCGAGGTGCTCATCTCCGATTCGCTTTCTCCTATGTCATCCACGCGCGGGTCATCACGGACTTCCGGATGGTCACCTGACAAAATGAAATAAAACCATAATATTATAGGAAAATGAATACACATAGACAAGCTGATCATACCATACAGCGCGTTCTTAGCCAGGTTTATGGCAACATCCAGTTTGTTCAAAGCAGCGCTGACATCACGTCCGTTCTCAGACTGGGTCAGGTATCGGTCAGCAATGAGAGTGCTAACAGTGGACATTTCTTGGACAATGGGAAGAAACGCTTCCTGGGCTGCAAGAAACTGTGAAATAAAACTTAATACAAGTCAGAGAAACTACACTTACCAATGGTCATCTTCTCAATGTTTAGCTTTGATTTGAGATGTTCAAAGCCATTTATCAGGGAGAGGCAGTGTTCCTTAATTTTGTCGTTATACATTGATACAGAGTTTGACAGCTCAGTCAGTTGTTTCCACAAGGATTTGTACGCCTTGGTTCTGGCCTTGAGCTCACTCTCCGACAGCTGATTGGTAGGCACAAGTTCACTGGTCGTTCCAATGTGAGTTCGCGAATTTTTCTCCAGCAATTTCGTTTCGTCTTGTTTCTTTTTGTTGTCAGCGATGATGCGCGTGATTTTTTGTGAGTAGTGCGATGGGTAGTTTGATATTTCATCGATCCAGTAGCCGTCATCAGACGATGGCATACTGTCTGGCGGACAGGCAGCCAAAAGAGTTGCAATGCTTTCCATGTGATACTTTTCCATTGCTTGTGCAACGTCCAACAGCTTCTTCAGTATCACAATAATAGCAGTGAACATTGCTTTCTGATGGTGGTGAATGTACGCAAGGTCAAGAGCGCTCTTCTGGAACTTGCGCACCAGTTTACCCTGTAAATAAATGCAACTGATAATTAGGTTACTGCATAAAAACATTTCTTACCGTCTTGGTGCGCCATTCGTCGGACTGGATGTTTAAGTACTTGGTGGTGTCCACAGCCAGCCGGTTTCTATATTTGATGTCGTAGACATTGCTATGGCTGGCAAAATCCTTAAAATATTGTGGCAGTTTCGTTGCGGGTTTTTTGGAATCCCTAAAAAGGCAGTAAACGTCAATACATACTGCCATTTCTTTTCAACTTTTACTTAGGACTTAAAACTGACAACTACAACAGTGGGTGAAACTTACAGAATTATTATGATTAAATAACGAATACATAATCGCTGCGCTTGCCAATTGCTTACGTTAGTGTACATGTTCATTTAAACAGAATTACCCATAATTGTGCAACACTTCGTTTTGTTTTTTTTTATTTTAAGGGTATCATTTGGAGCATTTATCGTTTACGTGCGTTTGTTGTTTACCACGTAAACGACAACTGCTCCAAAAAATTTAACCCTTGTTTTTTGGTTAATTAGCGGGTTGATTTGAAGCAGAGAGTAGTTTAAAGTTAAATTTAGCAGTCCAAGTTTCGTTTAATTTAAAGAGTATTTTTGGGAACATCTATCCTTTGCACGCATTTGTTGTCAGCGCGCAAACGACAGCTGCTCCATAAAATACAGTCCTTTTTTACCGGGTAATTAGTGTATCTGGAATCGGCAAATAGAAAAGTAATCACAAGTAAAAATTAACCGTCACAGCATTATCTATTCCGTTGCCTAGAAAACAAACGTCTTTCTACGACAAACGGAGAAGAAACAGCAGTGAAGGTAATCACATAGCAAAAGTCACACTGACATTAATGACTTGACTTGGTTAATTTCACAAGTGTTTATATAAGCGCTCTCACACGCAAAATAGTTTACCGAGAAAGATAATGCTGTGAAACAAATTGCTGTGCAGCAAAATGCGTGCACAGTATTTTGTTGATATAAACAGTTGTAATAAAATGCGTTCACGCAGTTCAACAAAATACGTGCAAACATTGTAACCAAGCTCCTGGATTTATTGTAATGCTCAATCATGAACAGCCGGACGCTTCCAACGACTCCGGTAAGTGAGAAAAATGTGAATTAAGTAACACTGCAAGTCAACCGCACCTTTAATTATAGGATACGATACGGATTCGGACAGTTCCTTCAGCTCCTATGAAACAGAAGAAGAAATTGGTAACTTTGTAAAAATCCTGGAAAAAACAATATTCCATATATGTATCATTTTCAGACGATTGCGATTGTACCGAGGAGCAACGCGGTGTCAATGGAGAGTGTCGAATCACCAGCTGAGGAAAATGGAAAAGAAATCCAAAAAGGAACTCGATCAAAATCTATTTGAGAAGTTGACAAAGTTCCTGATAAACTTCCTCGATGTGTTCGAATTTTTTTAAACCAAGTATATTACATTTTCCACTATTAAAGACTACGCATGTGGCTTTTTTCATCTTTATTGTCATGCCGGGAAAAATCTCTGGCTCGTAATATTTGTCACCAGTCGAATGGCCAATATTTTCAAGATTTTGTCGTCGCAGCTGACATGAAGCAATAATATTAACAACCTTATAATTTGTTATTCGCGCTCCTTTGTAACCCGTAGCAATAAGCTTTCGCAAAAAGTATTCTGCACACTTTCGTGACTCGCGTAGTGTGCGTCCACCATTAACCGTAATTTTTCCGTTGCGATATAATTGGCAGTGGAATTTTTTCGGATATATTACGCACCACAAAAGACAAGAGAATTTTTAGGATCGTATTCTGTGATAAGGTCTCTGTTCAAATTAAGCTGGTGCAAGTCGATTTCCACATTCAAGTGCGCAGTTGCGACGATATTAGTTATTTGCGCCATGTATCCAGAAGTTGGTTATGATCTCAGGTTCCAATGGCCTTTCGGAGCAATAATATGTGGACCAACAATGAGTGGTAAAACACAATATGTTCTTAAAATGCTGAAAGGAAATGCAATGGACGTCGTCCCAACCAGAATAGTGGTAGCATACAGTCAATGGCAAAACTCGTACGAAGAAATTAAAAAGATTTTTCCACCGACAGAATTCGTTAAAGGG